TCTTTGGTGTTTTGTAGTTTTCAGTGTGCAGATCCTGTTGTACATGTTTTGTTAGATATAGACTTACGTATTTCATTCTTTTCAGAGCTATTGTAACCGATATGGGTTTATTTTTTTTAATTTCAGTTTCTGATGATTTATTGCTAGGATATAGAAATACAATTGATTTTTTTGTGTTGATTTTGTATCCTGCAACCTTGCTAACTCACTTATTAGTCCTAGGAGCTTTTTTATAGATTCCCACGAGATTGTCTATGTAGACAATCATGCCATCTGCAAATAGGGACAGCTGTTCTTTCTTTCCAATCCGTATGCCTTTATTTTCCTTGCACTTGCCAGCACTTCCAGTAGGATGCTGAATATCAGCGGTGAGAGTAGACGTCATTGCCTTGTTCCCCACCTTAGGAGGAGAGCATCCATTCTTTCACCACCAAGTATGTTAGCTGCAGATTTTCGGTAGATGCCCTTTTTGGGGTTGAGGAAGTTCCCTTCTCTTACTAGTGTGCCGGCAGCATTTATTATGAATGAATGTTAAATTTAGTCAAATATTTTTTCTGCATCCATTGACATAACCATGTGTTTTTTCTTCTTTAAGCTGTTAATATGGTGGATTACATCTATTGATTTTGGAAAACTGAACCAGTCTTTTGTTCCCAGGATAAACAATTGGTTGTGGTGTACTATTCTTTTTACATAATATTGCTGGATTCGATTTCCTAGTATCTAGTTGAGGATTTTTGTGTCTGTGTTCAAGAGGATGATTGATCTGTAATGTTCTTTTCTTGAACTCTCTTTGTCTGGTTTTGTAAAACAGGTGTGTACTATACACTTTTCTGAGGTCATGGATGATAATTTTACGATTTTTAATCATCATAAGAACTTATGAGGGGTTTTATCTTTGCTTTCCTGCTAGAACTTATTTAATTCCAAGTTCTTGACCAGGAAGACAACTTCCAAAGATAACAACAATCTTCCTAAGGGAAAATGAGACTGTTTTACAAGGAGGCACTTGAAGGTAGACCTGAGAATTCAATGCAGGGAAACCTACTACCTCACCTGCCACTATCTGCATGCCCCGCCCCAGCACTTCCCCAGAGAGCAGACACATGAGGGACTGTGCTGATTGGCTTGAGATGAAAAACTGACAAGGTTTCCAGCGAATACAAGATATATTACCCAACCCTGAATGCAAATACTCACATTTGTCTTTGAGTTACCTAAGAAGGCACCTATCAAACATTAACCCTTTAATTCTTACAATTTCTAAAATGCTGTCATTATCACGCACATTCCACTACTGAGGAAGCTAAGAGATGATGAGGTTAAGAGATTTCAAGGAAATCAGAGGAGCTAAAATTTGAATTTAAAATATCTATTATGCAACCTTGTTATAAGTCCTAATTAAATGCAGTGCAATGTCCCAAGGTCAATCAGGCATGGGAAGGGCTCAAGAAAGTGATCTGAAGCAAAAGAGCTCCCTAGGGTGTCTTTTCAGAACTGAAATGCTGATTCCACTCTTGGCACTGTTGAGAAGGCCCATCGCCTCACTGTAGGAAGTGGGTAGGCCAGTTGGGAGAGGAGCAGGCCACCACACACTAGCTGCACACCTAGGAACAGCACACCGGCCACTGAGAAATCAAAACCCTTGTAAGTCCATCACTCCAGCATGTAAAAGTCACTCAAAAGGTCGCCAGGCTGCCCAAAGACCACAGAAATGTCCTTGGACTCAAGGTCTCCTGCTCCGCTACGTGGAACAACTCAAAATGATGTGTTCAGGAGGCTGCAAAGAGCTCAGCCTGACACCAGACTGTCTGGATTCAAATCCCAGCTCCGCCACACACTGGCCATGGAACCTGAGTAAGTCACAACCTCTGTGCCTCAATTTTCTCATCCATAAAATGGGGGTGACAACAGTAGACGAAGCACTCACTAAGTGATGCCTGTCGTTATTATTATGCAGTAAGTCTTGTCCAATCCGGGGCCTGTCCCCTTCTGACCACACCCTCACATCAGGGTACATGTAAGAGTGTGCCCTCCCGTCCTCCATCCCAAGAGCAAAACTGCTTTCAACCAAGTCGATGGAACAAAACAGCAGGCAACAGCAAAAAGCCTACATTAACTATTTCATTACATGATGTCTGGGAGCTAAAAAACACAGCTCTCACAGAATCCACACCATAAGGAAGAAGGTAATTTAACTCAGTAGTTTAAACCAACTTTTTTCCCCACAAAGAGTACATTTTTATTGTTTGATATAACCACAGGAGACATTCTCCCCAACAAAGAGATATGTATGAGTTTTATTTTCAAAAGATAATCTATGAAAATGCACTGATTAATTTTCATAATATTGCAGATTAGTTTTACTATCAAATCATATGCCATTTAAAACATCAATTTAACTTTTAAATCACTAGGAAGTAAACTATCTTTAATTCAAATATACAACCATATTTTGGGGGTGGCATTTTCACCGAGTTTCTTTAGAGACAGGAAATATTAATTAGCAACACCGATAGCTAATGTTTATTACACACTAAGCGCCTAATAAGCTAGGTGCTACTTTCTACATGTTAGCTCATTCTCTTAATCCTTTGAGGGAGGTATAGGCTCATTTTACAGAAAAACCTCAGCCTTGGGGTGAACTCTTACTGGTTCTGATAGAGAACTGATTGCTAGCACCTGTGTTTTAACACTTAAACCTGAGGTTTTAACACTACAATGATATAAAGGCAAGTCGAACTTTAACGTGCAAATGAATCACCTGGACTCTTTTTAAAATGCAGATTATGAATCAAAAGGCCTGAGGTGAGCCTCTGTGTGTTTCTACCAAGCTCTCAAGCGCTGGCGATGCTGCTCTTCTATGGACCACACTTGGAGTAGCAAGGATTGCCACAGATCACCACTTTTTTTATGAAAGAAGTCAAAATTTTCTCAAAAACCATAAGTTAACCATAACATAAGTTCTACTATAAGAATTATATTATCTAATAATATAAGAATTAGAATTTATATTTTCCATATTTCTTGATGGGATTCTGAGCTTTGTAACATCTTAGAAATATCTTAATGACTTCTTGTGTAGACTCCAATTTCTTGGAGTTTTGTGGGGGTTTGTTCCCCACCCCCGCAAATACTCTGATTTTTATCAAGGCTGAGAAGCCAAGTACACGGAAGACTGTTTCAAGTTGCCATACCCTTCAAGTAGGTCCCTTTCCTTCACTCACCCACGCATTACCTCTTGCCATTTAAATTCTGGAAATCAGACAAATGGCAGAGTTAGGCGAGATTTGTGGGGCTGGGCCCCAAAGTTCTTCCAGATGAAAAGTAAAACTCTACAACAAAACAGCACCTTACCAAAAGGCCATGATAAATACCACTGGCTTCCATTTCTGGCCTTAGGTGACAAAGTGCCAGCAATGAGGTGATAATTAACACTTTATACAAACTACTGGGTTTCAATTCTTTTACCAGATCCTTTGAGTGGCAAATTCTATTTACTTTCAAAAGTCCACGGAGTAAACAAAACAAGGTACTTAATAAGGGCCTATATTCCACCTGGGTCCAAGTTCACGCCCTGCTCTTTTTTATTTCTGATTATCTGTGCTGTCCGAAAACACTGGCTAGCTGCCTCTTTTAAAAAGCAGTCATCTGCCTCCCCCCACTCCTCCATCCTCTTTGCTAACAGCAATACTTAACTACAGAACCAATGTATCTCTGAGAACATTCCAGTTTACCAGATAAGGTCAGTTTAAAATTCTAGAGAGGGATAACCTGTTCCATTTGTCTTTCTTTAGATCCCTTCAAAAATACCCTTTGGCAATCAGCAGAACAAGCCTTTCACCCAAGAGAGAGATAAACGAGTCTATGATTCTGCAGTTTACCAACACTGAGACCTTTATTTAAAGAGTGTCCACATATTATATTATTCCCAAGGAATGTTTATCTATGTACTCACTTAAGCACAAGAAGCCGAACACTTGGAAGAAACAGAATGCACATACACTGTAGCTCGATGCAAATGGCTTCTCTGGCTGAGAAGTCTACAAAGTTTTGCTGCCCGGCCTCAGAGGAAGGCCTACCTGTGACAGGGAATATCCGGACTGAAATGGAGCATGCCCTGTCCACAACAGAGCTAAGCAACTGCCCAGAGCAGCCTGTCACAAAACCACAAAAGAGGGGCAGAGCTGACAGGCCCCTGTCCTGAACACCCTGGAAACTAAAAATAAGAATTCTGAGAAATGAGCTCTACTATAGACAAGTCCAACAAAAAGTTCCCTGTTTCTGTTACCTCCAAAACTGGCTGCCCTCCCAGAGTGATTTAACTCTGGGTACCAACTGGGCGATGCCAGCACCGTGCTGGAGCGGAGGATTCAGGGATGCTGGTTCTGTCTTCTCGGTTACTTAAGAGGAATCAAACCTCTCCAGTGTAAACTGGAGACTTTTGTGGCCAGATCTGAGCTCCCCCACTGCACCTAGGCTACATGCCGCCATGCAACAAACATTTATTGAGCGCCTACCATATGCCAGCACTCTGCTAGGCGCCAGGGAGGAAACCAAGCCACAGTCCTGGGTGGTGGAAGCAGAGACAGACAAGGACCGTCAGGAGGAGTGGAGGTTGTGGGGGCTCGAAAACCTGCCACAAAGTGTCATGACCAGAAGTACCCTGGGGACAGCATCACCCCCGCACTGGGCTCCGCGGACCACCAAGCCCAATAATGAAACAGGCTCGCGACAGCGAAGGCGGGAGTGGACAGCTAGGCCCCGGGGCAGGTGTTCCGGTGGTTGGTGCACACCTGAGACGGCAGGGCTGGAGAGGGCAGGGTCCCCTGGGCAGGCGGGAGGGCGGCCCGGGTACTCGCGAGGGAGAGGGGGTGCGAGGCGCGGGAAGCGGGTGCGCGGCGGAGGCCGGCCAGGCCTGCGCCCCCGAAGCGGGAGTGGGGAGGGAAGGCGCGCGGCTAGGCCGCCCGCCGGCACCTGGGGCCCCGCCCAGCACCTACCACTTGGGCGACCTTGAGGCAGCCGAGCGCGCCACGCAGGTAGTCGGGGTCGCAGCGCAGGCCGGCCAGCCCGCGGCGCTGGCTCACCGGCTCGGTGGTGGGCTGGTACGGGCTGCTGGCGCCCGAGATCATGGAGGTGCTCGAGGCCTCGCCCTCGAAGCCGTCCAGCTCCTCGCCGCCCCGCATGCTGC